AAATGTATCCCCTTCAGTAGTAATATGAAAACAATAAAACTGGGTTGAACACTAACCCTACTGGAACGTCTAAGAGGTAAGGAATCGTTAGTGGGTTCAACTGGAGTTTCCTCCTTGGGTTTAGTGCCATTGTTAGAGGCTCCTTCATCGCTTTGCTCTTGAATCTCTTCACGATCAATTTGCCTCCCATTGTCCTCTTGACTTATCAGTTCCCGTTCCCGGAAAACTCCTCTTCTAGCAACGAAGACAACATTGTCACTCGGTCTATAGAAGAGATAGCCAAAAGACTTCGGTGGATAGCCAATGAAATAACACTTCTCACTACGAGGCTCCAACTTGTCGTGAGTCTCTCATCTTACGAAAGCCTCGCAACCCCAAACCTTGATATGTGCCAACGAGGGAGCTTTCCCTGTCCACATCTCGTGAGGTGTCTTAGTAACCTTCTTGGTGGGAACTAAGTTAAGGATATGGGCGACAGTCTCTAAGGCATACCTATTGGCAACGAAGCCTAACTCATCATAGAATGAACCATGTACAACAAGGTCCAATTCCGCATTCCTTTAGATAGTCGTGAAACTCAAGACTTAGGTACTCTCCTTCTCGGTCTGACCGAAGCATCTTGATTTTACTGCCCAGCTGATTCTCCACATCATTCTTAAACTCTTTGAAGTTTGAAAGGTTTCTGACTTATGCTTGATTAAGTAGATATATCCATATCTGCTATAATCATCCGTAAAAGTCATGTAGAAGCGACAAGCATCTCTTGTGGTGGATCTAAAGGGCCCACACACATCGGTGTGTATGAGATCCAATAGACCCTCACCCCTTTCACAAGTGCCAGTAAAGGGTAAATTGGCCATCTTCCCAAGTAAACAAGATTCAGACATGTGATCATCCCTAAGGTCCAATGACTCCAACACTCCATCCTTTTCGAGTTGGGCTATGCGTCTCTTGTTGACAAGGCTAAGGTGACAATGCCACAAGCATGCTTTGTCTAGACTATTAGATGAATCAATATTAAATACATCATTTCCTAAATTATCAACAACCAACACAGATTCATAAATCCCATTACAAGGTAATGCATTGAAATAAAAGATACCATTCAAATAAACATTAATAGAACCATTACTATTATCAAATGAGTATCTGAAACCTTGTCTAAACAATCCATGAAATGAAATGATGTTTCTTGCCATATCTGACGAATAGCAACAATTATTTAAATCTAACCCTAGCCCAGTACTCAGCACTAAAGAATAAACTTTGACTCTGTTCACAAGCGACGACCTTCTGTTTCCAATAATCAAGTTTATCTTCCCATGTTCCACCTCCATACTTCTTCTTAGGCCCTGGAAATCAGAAAAAATGTGGAAACCACATCCCGTATCAAGAACCCATGAGGTAGCAAATGAAAATTTGTTAGATTTAATAAAATACATACCTACAAAGGTGGGATTTATCTTACCATCCTTTATGTCTTACAGATACTTAGGGCAGCTTCATTTCTAGTGGCCCTTCTTGTGGCAGTAGTAGCACTCTGCTTCTTTGGGTCGGAACAGGATTTGACTTAACCAGCTTTGGTTCCACTAGAAGAGGAACCATCATGGGACTTATCCTTTTTGTGACTATTACTTGGATCCTTCCTTTTCTTACCTTTTCCTTGACCAATTGCCAAGACAGGAGCAGCCACAGTAGAGGGTGATGCAACAGATTTTTCCTTGAGGTTTCTCTCAGCAGTCCTTATGAGTCCTTGGAGTTTGCTCAAGGTGCCCTCTTCATTATTCATATGGTAGGTCATCATGAATTGGTTGTAGCACGAGGGCAAGGAGTGGAGAATGATGTCGATAGCCAAATTTTCCCTAAAGTTAACACTTAACTTGCGAAGACGATCAACATACCTCTACATCTTCTACAAATGCGAGGTTAGGGACTCTCCACTCCCTATCTTAGTGGTGATCATGTTGGTGATGATCTCATAGCGTTATTTCCTTGCGCTTTGTTTTTACCTCTCCAGTAAATCTTGATGCATTTCATATGCATACATGTCCTCATAGGACTTTTGGAGTTCAAGATTCTTAGTGGCTAGCATAATGCAATGAACTTTCATTGCATCACGCTCGTGGGCCTCAAAGACGGCTAATTCTTCGGGAGTAGCGACTTCTGGATTGATCTTTTCAAGCTTCTCATCAAGGACATATTCTTTTTCCTCGTAACGAGCAATCATGCGAATGTATCTCATTCATTCGTTGAAAACAACATTTGTGGATCTAGGAGATATGACATTAGAATGCATGACCTGTTGGACTCTATTAAGGAGCTTCACCGCCTCTGGTGCGAGAAAACCAAATGTATTGAATGCAAAAGGACCAAACACATGTTGATTTTCTCTACATGCATTCTCGTGCTTTGCCACTTTGTACGCAACTGCTTTCAAAGTGGCATGCCCAGCTAGGAAACCTTTGCTCCCTAAACCAATGAGAGGAGAGACACCAGTAAGATCCACACACGCATGCTTCCCTCCTATCCATCCAAAGACCAAAATGTTAGCCGGTCTAAGTGTGGACATGCCATCCTGCAGGTCCGTCAAAAAGTTCACTGGCGCTTCTTTCTTCACATAAATACCAACACGCTGACAAGCATCAAAGAGAACATCCCGAACCACATCATGTCTATACTTGAAACCAGGGAGCTCTCTACAATGAACCGTGTGTTCCCCAAAGGTATCCAAACATGCCTTGCGACAAACTGGGCATATCTCGTCAATTGGGAATATGGGAATCATGAGGCGGTAACAAATGATAGTTCGGTACTCCACAGGAGGCATATGCTGGCCAAGACCATCAATAGGGATAGTTAGTAGAAAATCCTGAGCATGAGGCACCCGCAGACACTCAAAGTCTGCTTTCTGTCTGATAGTCATGTCGAAATTGACTTCCATATCTTGGACGATTTTGCTAAAAAGGGAACACGCCAAAGCTTTTTGGGATTTAGGGGGGCGGTGTCCTTATTAGTGAAACCACTACAATCAAATCCCGGAATCGTATCACGGAGACGAGTCATAGCACATAGGTAATCCAAGTCCATACCACATATGCCACTGTCACGTAAGATATGGTCTTGTAATGCCCAAGATTGGGTCCCTCGAGGCTACAAATGCGTAGGAGGAAACCTCTTAGGCCGAGTACAAACCTAAACCACCGAAACGAATAGGTAAGGAAGCCAAGCACCACTGAATGTCTCCCAAGAAGGGGCCTCCACATACCACCATATCCTCGATAGACCTGCGCAATCCCCTGTCAAAGAATAACACTGCCTCTTCTATGTGTACCAGCTGACATGTCCTTAAACCAAAGAAGAGTTTTGCAATGCCCATACACGATCAAAGCAAAAGGAGCTCACTCTGCAGGTCACATAGTTGTGGAAGAAGGCCCATCAACTCAACAACATTGACTGCTCTCTTCATGGCCAACCCACTAATAAACCCCGCGTCTCTGCTAAAAGCCCCCCCCCCCCCCCAAGGAGTTTCACCCCTAAAGAAGGTCTCCCTATCTCCGTAAGGAATAAATCAGCACGAAGCTACCTACAATCACATGAGGGCCAAATAATTTAAATTTCAAAACTTGAGGGCAAGTTTTGAACTTTTCAAAACACAAGGGATCAAATAACAAATAATATAAATCAAACAATTAATTTAGTGATTATCTATATTTGACCTAATTCAATTTCTTGCAAGATAAGTTACCCAATTAATTCAAATAATCAATTTTAATCATATAAGGAATTTATTATCTAATCAATTGGTAATTATCTTGTGTTTTGGCAAGGATAATCTTTCAATAACAATAAAATCCGAATCTTATCAGTTAAATACATATAAGACAATTATCCTTCAGCAAAACAACAAGAAAATTCGTAAATCCCTCTGTCTGACGCTCCGACTCGCTGAGTCACTCACTGGACTCGGAGAGTTAGGTTGACTCGCCGAGTCCATGAACTAACTCCCCGAGTCAGATCGAACAGAGCGCCAAAACATGTTTTTCAGCAAATAATCAATCATAACAGCACATACAACAGAAAACAATTAAGTCTCTAATACCACTAATGGGTTTTATGTAGAAGAACAATCTTATGTGCTCATACAAACCCTAATGCTTGGATCTAGGTTTCTCTATTGTACATGCAATGAATCTAAGACTTGCGAACCCTAATCTAGCATACATAAATTCGAAATTAGCTAATAACACCAGATCTAGACGTTTTCCTCTTCAAATAGTGGCTTGAATCTTATTCTCTTAAGCTTAGAGTCAAAATTGTAACTCCTCTAGTGGATCACAAACACTACAAGCAAGAAGGAAACTTTTAGAGAGGAGGGAGGATGCTAATTTTCGGCCCTAGGGTTTCTCTGAGAAACAAGTGGTCGAAAATTGGAGCCTTAGGGTCTTATTTATAGTGTAGGCTGCTAGGGTTTCACTCTAAACCCTAATGGATAACTTAGCCACCAAGCAGCCTGAGGAACCTTCTGGAATGAGGCCCTTGGACGAAAATATGATGATCTTTCATCATAATTTCGTTCCCCCTTAGTCCATTAGGTTTCCTAGCCCAAAACTCAACTATCATACATTTGACAGTTTATGCCCCTTTATTTAGTTAATCTCTTTTAGTCACCAAATTAATTCCTAATTAATTTCTCCTTTAACATATTATTCTTATAATATATGAATAAACCATAATATCCTCTCTCTCTCTCTCTCTCCCTCTCTCTCTCTCTCCTTAAATTACCTTGTCAAGTTGTTTTGGTGAAGGCAACCCAAAAGGACCATGCACAACCGGGTCAAGTACATACCAAATAAAGTTACGGAATTAGACACTAATCCAACAGTAAGCACTATTAAGAAAGTATGGAGGTTACTCGAGAATAACTTCAAAAACAAATGTGATAAAAGGTCCCTCTGCTGGATTGAACAACTCTTAACTTTTGAAAAGTGCTCCACTTCAGTATGCATTATACGACTTTCCAGTCCCTTTCTACCCTAAACAAGTATGTGAGTTCTACTAAACATGTTGTGTTGATTCAATTGCTTGAACAATCTCTGGAACCATTGGAGATTGTCAATATAGGGTCACTATTGATGTGGAAACCCTTCAAATGGCTCTTCACTATAGAAAACTGCAAGACTGTTCACGAAAAATTAGGGTATAACTTCAAACTCAAAGGCCTCACTCGTGATCCCTATAGGAACACTCTTCGTCAGTGTTTTAATGTAGAATGGAAATACTTATTAGTTGTGATTGAAAAATATTTTGGTCACAAGACTGGAAGTTTGGATCAACCGAATCTCTTTGAGAAAAGGATCTTATATTTCATCGTTTACAAAAAAAATTGGAATTTACTCAAATCTTTCTTTATCATATGATTAAATGTATTTCTGGGAAAAAGAGACAAGTGCATATTTTTTACCGACGTTGGCTCAGGTTGATCTTGTCTCGTGAAGAAGACTATGTTGAAATTCATGGGATCATCATTCCTATTCTTGCTCTTTCCTCAAAAATTATCAATGCTGCTCCATCTAAGGATGATTTTCCTATTACTGCAAGGATGCAAAAGTGGACTGAAAATCCCTATGTGGTTGAATCCTCAGACTCTAGAGAGGATAATGACCATGACCATGCTGATAATGAAGTAGATAATGATGATGATTCAAAAGCTAGTAATAAAGAAAGGGATGATAAGGGAGGACACTGATAAAGATGAAAATGACTCAGCAGCTGACATGGGAGATGACCTTGCTCAGAAAATGAACTCTCGTCCAAGGTTAAACAAGCACATACGTTTTTCAACTACTTCATCCTCTTCCTCTGCTGATGACACTAAACATCGTGGATCAACCCCTCCTGTTGGAGATATTACTGAGCCATTAATCTAGGATGAACCTTCTCCAATGACGTCTCCTTCTCCTCAAGCTGATATAATTCATCAAGCTGAAATGATTCCTCCTACACCATCACCCATTAATATTGTTGTTCTACATCAGGGTTATCAGGGAGAATCTAGCTCCAACTTTAAAACTATTGTGCTTTCTCAACACTCCTTAACTGTGCAGTTCACTTAGTTAATGGGTAAAAGGTTAACTAAACTTGAAAGGGATGTGGCTACAATGAAGAGAATTATGACTTTGGATGATGATGATGATGATGATATGGTTGTTGATGAAACCCCACCAAATTCTTCAAGTGATAACTCTACTCATCCTCCACCTCCATCAAAAAATCTTCTCTCACCACCTCCTCTATCATCTCATCCTCCTCTAAGAACTCATTCTCCTCCTCCTCACCCTGTTCCCCAATCTGATGTTGCTAAAAAGAGGGAAAATTATCAATAGGTCATCATCCCATGAAAATGCAGATGGTGATTGCATCTCAGCCTAAGATGACTAAAATAGGTGAAGCTAAAGTTGATCCTTTAAGGAGATTGTTGTTGTTGATATTCCAAATGCTGATGCTACAACTGATCTACCCATTATAGACACTAGTGACCAATTAGAAACCAGTGACTATGAAGGGTTTCTGGATCTCGATTTCATGCAAGAAGTTGTTGCTTCTACTGTTCCATTAAATTTCATCTATCCTGGTTCTTATTTTGAGGGGGAGATTTCTCAAGGGTTCCTCAAGGAAAAACTAGTGACATTAATTCTGATGATGGTGTCCAACTTAATCCATAAAATAGGAAGGCTTCTTTTCTCAGGGGGAGCTTTTTAATCTGAAGCTAGAAGTTCCTATACATTTGGTGATACATCAACACCTCCTTAAAAGAAAAGGAAGCTCATTTTTTATTTGAATGAGTTAGTTGAAACATGGATCTTACCTATCGACAAAGTTAAACAGATCATGATGGAATACAATACTACTGTTCGACAAAAGAAAGAAGCCATAAAGCAATAACGATTATCTGTAAAACTTGTTCAAGAACTTGTTTCCTCTGACAAAATTGTTGATGTTCAAAGAAATAATAATCAGGTCAAGAAGATCTTTTATAACAATGTGGAAAAACAACACATTGTTTCAGACCTATATGACCAGATTGATACAAAGAAGTCTGGAGACGTTCTAACTCGAAGAACAAAGTTTGATCTTATCATAAAAGTAAGATGCACCAAGCCAAATAACGACTCACTAAAGCTTCACATGGTAAGAAGTAAAACTGAGTATAAATACGCTAAGTTGTATTTGCTCGTGAGCTATTCAAATTTGGCTACACTGATTGGATTCAGATTCTTGAAATCAGCAACAAACATAAAAGTGTTTATGATTAGCAAGTGAAGGTGCCAATCCAACAACTTCTCAACAAAGTGAAGAAAGTGAACCTGGTACCATCTGATGGTCCATCTGCGACTTCATCTAGATTAGACTCATTAGGAAGAACAGACACTCCTCGACAGTCCAAAAATACCAAGTTTCTTCTTCCTTATGGTACCAAATACATCAATAATTAATTACCAGCTGGTGTTGAACATGTTCAGTACATTTTTACGCCAGAACCAGAGCACAGGATCTTCTATCTCGATAGTCAAAATCAGATGTGATTTCAACACACTTGTTGGGTTTAATATGTGTTGCGTCTTGGGCTCGTTTCTTAGCCCAGTTTCGTATCCGGATTGGGCTTGTCAATCCGTGATTTAATATTGAGGTTTTTAGTATTTATAGATGTTTGCATGCATCTTGGTACGTAGCTATTTTAGTTGATCATTCATAACGTTTTTGTTTCTATCAATTGTAACCCTAAAAGCCTCTACAGCGGAAGTTCTTCATCGAGCTCTGCTGAGGCGTGAATCTATTGAATCATTCAGCTTATTGTTGGTTCATTCTTTTGTTTGTTATTTTGTTTTCATGATTCTGATAAACCTGTGTAAGATCTAATCGATCAAAGAGTATTTTCATCTCATCAATTAGTATCAGAGCAGGAGGCTGTGTAATTCATACACATCTCTTCTGTCAAAGAAGTGATTAGGGTTTATTCCGCATTCTTTGATATTTATTGAGCCGTCACTCCTTAATTGACTATCTCATTAATTATTAATCTTGCCCTAATATTACGTATTACAAAGTCTGGTCTTATAACAGGTTAAACGATCAAGCATGGACGATTCTCAATCCAATCCCATCAACATCTGTAACAGCATCGGATCAACAACCAAGATCCCAATCCTCTACGTTCAAGACTACGAAGTGTGGACACACCATTTTGAAGATTACATTATTGAATCGGAAGATAAAGGGTATCTTATATGGGAAACAATCACAGTTGGCCCATTTGCTCATTCAAGCACTTCACGAATCATTAAAACTCAGAAGGAGTACCATGATCTCCTAAAAGATGTGAAAGACGTCGCTCAGGATGAAAAGGAAAAGTTCCAATGCAACATTAAAGCACTGAGACTAATTCGATTCGCCCTTCAATCCGACATGTTTCGATTGGTAAGTTCATGTAGTACAACAAAGGAAATCTGGGATCGGCTGCGAAAACTGTATTCCACAGATGAAGATCTAGAGCACTCGATTCGGACCCTACTTCTCTCTGAATTTGGAGAGTTCAAGCAAAAGCCAGAGGAAGCTGTTACACAAACATTCGATCAGTTCAATCATCTTCTTAGTAAGATGATCAAGCATGATATAGAAAGAAAGCTCATCGAACAGAAGGTCACTTTCTTAAATGGGTTAAGACCCGAATGGAGGCCGGTTGTGTCGACAGTTAAAGCACATGAGCAGTTTAAGTCATATTCTTTGGCGAAACTTGTGGGGATTCTAAAATCCCAGGAAAAGACTGTGTTGAAAGAGAAAAGTGTGGTCTCAAACTTTGGGTCCTTGGCCCTTCTGTCAAAGGGTAAGAGCGTAGTAGAAGAAGAAGAAGATCTGAATCTAGGAGACTACGATCTGACATCTGAAGACTATGCCATGATGGTGTCAAATCCCAGGAGATTCATCTAGAAGAAGTTTCCTACCAACAAGAACCGAAATTGTCAAGGAAGCTACAGCTATAAGAAAGCAAAAGAGGAGCCGAAGGTTGAAGAACCAAAGAAAGAAGCGAAGGGTGAAGTTGATTCTGGTGTCAGTTTTTTTTACTGTGGAGGGAAAAATCACTACACAAAAGATTGCGTGTTGAAGAAAATGGCGGAGAAGGATGAAGAAGTGATTCTCCTGAAAAGACTGGAGGTGATTAAAAGGAAGAAAGTTGTTGCTAATCCCTCCATGAATGCTTTAATTGTACAGGGTTCGGTAGATGATGATGAGTTCGGTGGCGTATAGGTATGGTCGACCGACTTAGAAGATGATGAAGTGAAAAAGCCTACTCATAGAAAGGCTTATGTGGCGAAGAGTGGTGACACTAATGGAAGATGCTTGATGGTCACAAATGTATCCCAGATGAGGGGATATAATATTGATGGTGGAAACGAAGTGACTAAGGAGCGAGAGGATGTATGCTTTACAACGAAGCCTCTCAGTGTGCAGATCAATGAAATGGATGAAATGATCAAGAAGGTACAATCCATTTTGTTTCGTTTAAAATCCCACAAACATCGTATGAAAAAGAATAAAATAACTTGAATTCAAGAATTTCAAATCTAGACAGTTGTTTAACTCAAACACGTGTCATGGATTCTAATCTAACTGACCAAATGAGCAGGGTGTCATCCAAGAGTGAGGAGCGAAGAATGTGGATTGAGCAGAAGGAGTTGGAGCTGGTTAGGTCTAGGGATGAAAATATCTATTTGCAGAGAGACAATCTTAAATTGTTAAAACAGAGAAATGTTTTTTGTTTGACTACAAAAATACTTTGCACAACTGCATTTGAACTGTGAAATAGGCCAGAAAATACATCGCATGATTTTTCCCTTTCTTGAGCTAAAGGAGGATGAAATTGATGCCGAAGCATACAACTGTGAAAGTGTTGTATCTTCAGATGATGTAAGTCCCACTTATATGTTTGGTCTAGACAAAATTGAATCATTTATTAAGTCCAAAGACGATAAGAACATGCTCAAAGACCTTTTGGATGAAAATGACACGTTGAAACTCAGAGCCGAAACCATACAAAAATTTGACTCATTGAGTACCAAATTATGTTCAGATAATAATATTGATGTTGCAAATGCATCTGAACTTAATGAGGATGATGACATGAGTGAAATCTCTATAGAGGATGTGGTTAACTGTTCAGAGTTTATTAAGAGCGAACCTGAAAACCACAAAAATTTGATTTCTGAAAATTCTATGGAATTCGCTCGTTTATCTAAAAGTAAGTCCCCGGCTCTTAAAGAAAAAGTCGTTGTTTACCAAAAGGTAAGAACAACTCCGAATCAAGTTTATAAGGTCACAGGAGTAACCGAACATCAGACAGCCGAACTCACCGCGCTGGTGAATGAAGATAATGCAGATGGTTGTGATGAGTATTTCTGGTCAGCACCGATAGATAATGCAGATGAAATAGATGGTTTGTCGGAGCGAACATCATGGAAGGCCAAAGGTAGATACGTTGCAGAACCACTAAATAAACCTACCAACTATGATGTACCCAGTACCAGCGGAACAAAAGAGATTCCAGTAGAATACATCTCCTCAACAAGCGAAACCCCTTCCATGAAAAGTGAACCTGTTGTTCAGAAGCCGAAACAGAAGGCAAATATTCACAAACAATTGAAACAGGTGTACAATCAAAAGCACCAGAGGAATCTAAGATACAAGAAAAATCTCTCAGAGCGAAAGCAATTTTGGCGCTCCCAAAATCCTCACTACACTCACTTTAATAGAAACTTCAAGCGAAAAGGAGAAGAGAATAAAGATAAAAGGAGCTTTGGTCGGTTTGATCAAAAGAACCAAAAGAAGACTTTTGGGAAACAGAAAGTAAAAGACCGAATGAATAGGTTCGGTC